TGGAAATGGGAAGCAAGGGCTGGCACAGCCCTGGCTCTGGGACATCAGGGTAGCAGGCAGGAAGGGCTCACAGGTTGGAGCTGCTGCAGAAAGCACAACTGTGGTCCACACTGAAGAAACCCACTCCAGGTGTGTGTGGGCAGGAGAGTGACTCAGAGCTCTTCAGCCAGGACAGCAGGGGCTGTTCTGGGACTTCCTGTCCCCAGTGCAGGTCAGCTGGGAACACTTAGTTCCCATCTTGCGTCATTGGTCTCCCCACAGCATTTAAATGTAAACCTTCTGGAAACACCTGCTTATCTTTATGGTCCCAGCCTTTTTGTTTGTTTATTCACTCAAGCAAAAACTTTGAACTGATGCTTTTCTATGTGCGTGGGGAACATCCCTTATTCAAAACGCTGAGACCAGAAATGTTTTGATTTCTGATCTTTTTTCAGATGTTGGAATGGTTGCACACCCCAAGGGATATCATGAGTACAGAATTCATTTGGGCTTCAAATGCACGTCCGCAGAGCCTGAAGGAAATTTTACCAATGCTTCTGGAAACGCTGTGCGTGGAGCAACTTTTCATGGTGTTGAATTTTTCCACTTGTGGAACCATTTTGACTCTCAAAAGTTTCAGATTTTGGAGCAAATGGGATTTCAGATTTTCAAGTTAGGGACACTCGATATGTGATGGGTACACTGTCAATGAGAAGAAGTGGTCTTCACACACCACTTCAGTTCCTTCTGCCTTTGTTCCCATCTCTTCAATCGCTCCTGTCCCCTTCAGTGAGGTGACCTTATGCCACATACCCCGTGGGGGTCAGTACTCAGAAGGGCACTTGCCCTGTTCCTCTTGTTTCTCTTCACACAGTCCCCATGAGCGACTCCAGGCTCTGTGATCCCTTCCTCCCCACCGAGATGTGAAATCTGCTTCTGTAGCTCAGAGCCCCACGTGCCACCCTATTCCCCTGGCTCTCTGTATGCATGCTTCTTACGCAGACACTGAGCTCAGGATAACCACAATCAGTTATTTCCTCCATCACTTCCCTCTCCTGCCCCGCCTAAACCTCTTCCTTTCCTAGTGTTTCTCTCTTAAACAACAGTGCCATCATCTATAAAACAGAATCTGGAGTCATCCAAATCCACCCCTCCAGTCTCCTCCAGTCATTAAGTCTTGCAGAATTTACCTCCTCCATCCCCACTGCCCTCTCTTTCCCATCCCTGCCATGGGCTCATTTAAGCTTGCATCTGCTTCACCAGGTCTGGTGCACCTATCTGATCTCTGGCTGTTCTACCTCAGTGCTCCACCCTCTGCTCTATCCCCCATGGCTGTGCCAATACAATGTTTCTGATTGCTGAGCTACATAGTTCCGGCTGTCATTGCCCAGTGGGTAAAGTCTACATTTATTAATGTGGTGTTTGTAGACCTTCATGATCTGACTCTATTAGCTACCTTTGAGCCCCTTCTCTAGCTACTTCTGCACACAAACTCTATATTCTAGTCACACAACATGCAGCCCGCTTACCTTTTCTCTTCTGCTTGGAAGGCCTTCCCTTGATTCTGCCTACCAGCTGAACTCTGGGACATTCCACAAAACTCAGAGTAGGCATTTCTCCAACCTACTCAGGTAGAGGTGATGCCTGCTATTGGCCCCCATGTTACCTTTATTACAGTTGTAGTGTGAGTTCCTTGAAGATAGAGTCTTCATGTCTTCATCTTCAAGTCCACTACTTGGCCTCCATGAGGTATTCAGTGAAACTTTGTTGAGTGGATATGGGAGTGAAAGAGTAAATGAATAGATAAATGCACAGTGCAAGGCTGAGTCTACAGGCATAAGAATCACTGGGCCCAGACAGTTCCAGAAAGAAACCAGGACGAGTAGAGCTGTTCTTTCCATCTTGAAGGCCTGCAGCCCAGACTGCACACATTGCTTTGTAGAGATGCACTGGCCGCAAACCTTCTGAGGTAGTCGAGCAGCCCACAGCTGTAAACCCTTCCTAAGGTCACACTTGCCCTTTGAGAATCTCTTGAATATCCACACAGGACAGGATGAAGATATTCTACTTCTCAGTTCATATGCTACATGTGGTTCTCTCTCCAGCACAGGAACGGATCTGGCTCTTGCCTGGAGACACAGAAAGTAGCGGGCTCCCAGTCAGGGGCTCTGTTGAAGAGAAAGCACTTACCACAGCCATCATGGCTGTTGGCAGACAGAGTACTTTCCACTGCTTAACGTTTTCTGCTCCACAGCAAATGTCTACATCTCTTTGCAGAAGGGTAATTGACAAGGCAAGACCAGAAGGGAATTAGGCAGACTGACAAAACTTCATGTCGGAAGACTCTGTGGCAATTCAATCTCATGTATTTCTGGTGGGGGTGAAAACTTTTTGGTGGCATTAAAGACAAATATTTCTACATCCTGTGAACTGGCAATGAGATTCTTGGTAGATGCCCAAGAGAAATGAGTGTGTATGTCTACCAAAACATATGCACAAACATGCTCTTCTAGCCTCATGCACAAAGTCAGAAATGGGAAACTGGTCATCTCTATTGTCATAGCTCCAAGAGAGCCTTTTCCCTTGTGTTTCTGGTTGGACTGGGGGTCCCTGGGGGTGTGACCTAGAAGGAGGTTGTATTATTGTCCCCAGCTCCTCCCTTCTCTGCTTCTTAGCTGCCATGGGTAGAGCAGCTTTGCTCTGCCATCCTCCTCCCTCCCCCAGTACTAGGGATTGAACTCAGGACCTTGTGCTTACCAGGCAGCCACTTATGCCTCTGAGCTATGTCCCCAGCTGCCATGGCTTTTGCCATTCTGTTTCTGCCTTGAAGCCACCAGTCAACCATGAACTGCACCATCTGAAATTATGAACCAAAATATACCTCTCCCCAAGGGCTGGCCAAATAGCTCAGTGGATTAAAGTGCCTGCAAGCAGGTGCAGGGGCCTGCCGTGCCGGCCTTGCCCCTGGGGTGTGCTGAGACTGGCAATTGAGACTGGATGTGGTGGTGCACGCCTGTAATCTGGCTCTTAAGAGGCTGTAAACAGTTGGATCACTGTGAGTCCAATCTAGCAGTGAGACCCTGAATACCCTGTAGACCCTTCCCTAAAATGCAAAAAGTAAATAAATAAATGAATGAACCTCTCCTCAAGTTGTGGAAGCCGAGTAGCATGTCCCAGGGGCAGGCGATGGCTAGCATATGAGGCATGGTCTGTTCTCTAGGGCTGCATTCTTCTTCTGCCACAAGCATGACATGACCACAGCCTGATTACATGAGGGGCGAGGACCTGTGCCTCCGATCTGCACCATGGCCACAGTGGGTGCTGTCCTCTGGGAGCCCAGAGGCCATTCTCATAGCCAGCATCTCCCCAGTGTGGGGAGCCTGTCCCTGAGGTTCTCCAGTCCTCTGGGACCTAGCTCAGCTGGTGGGGGAGTTAGGTCCCTCTTTGGCAACTCTCAGCCTCTGGGGGATGGACGCTGGGGGCTTCACACTCTCACCATTGGTGAGTTCTGCAGGGCGCTCCAACCTCTTTCCACTGCTCTCTTGCTCCCAGGGTGGCTGATTCCTCTTCAGTAAATGTGCTCATCAAGGGCTTCTCACAGACAGGGAACATGGAAAGTCAGAGAGGCCTAGCTGCTCTCAGTAGGCTGGGGATTTATTGATCCACCCCAGGTAAGGGAAGGGAGGAGAGAGAGGATCAATCGGGGAATTTCAAGTTGAGGCCCTTAGAGCTTGGCAGAAGCAGCAGACCAGAATATCATCTTTGTCTGGAATGAATCAGAAGCAAAGTCTCTTAGAGCTGGAGGAATCTTAGAGGCCCTCTGATCTGCACCTGTGGCTATGGCACATGAACATAGGCTGGGGTGGGGTTGGGGGGCACGAAGCAATTGTGTAATAAAGGGACACCTTGTGCCCATGTTCTCCAGGTTTCTCACATCCTTGGTTGTATGTGATAAAGTACAAAGCATAAAATTCACTATTTTAATCATTTGAGAACATTCAATTCAGTGGCATTGAGCAACTCACAGCGTCGTGGAACCATCCCCTCTACGTAGTTCCAGAATATTCCATCATCCTACAAGGAAACCAGATGTCCGTTAAGAAGTCAGCCCACAGCACCTCTTCTACCAACCCCTGCTAATTACTTCTTTCTTTCAACGGATTTGCCTTTCCTGGTATGTTTATACAAATCAAATATCATGTAACATGTAACCTTTGTATGTAGCATGTTCTACATAGCATGTTCCCTCCCCCCTTTCCAGTACTAGGGATCATACTCAGGATCTCCAAAGCTTTCAAGACTCACCTATGTTATAGCATGTATCAGTATTTAATTTCTTTGTATATAGTTCACAGCTTTATTTTTACACTGATTCCTTGATTTTCATTATAATCTCAGATAATTGTGTCATTTGAAAGATGTCCCTTTTGTGAATGTGACCAAAGGACAGAATGAGCCCCTTGCTGCCATCTGCCTGTCTCCTGCACAGAATCACTGAATCTCTTCTCCGTGTCTGGGCTCCAGGACAGGTGCTGCTGTTCTGTTCCATTACAAAAGCGCATGCAGAAAAAGTATATGCAAAGCAAACCGTAAAATTTTATTGAGAGTTGTAAAGTATTTGAATAAATGGTAAGACAAAATATATCAATGGAGAGGAATGTTAAATAGTATGAAAGTGATTGTTCTTCTTGAATTGATACATTTAATGCAGATCCCATCAATAACACTATAAGAATAATTTTTTAAGATACAAATACAGACCAACACTAGCAACAAAGTGCACAGGGGGCCGGGGAGATAGCTCAGTAGAATAAGGGCCTGAGTTAAATCCCTGGTTCTGCCAAAAAAAAAGTACACAATAAATGTGTCTTAGTCACTTTTCTCTCATTTCTGAGAAAAAAACAAGTGTTTGACACCCAAAATCAAGAAAGAAAGGGTTTATTTAGATCACGGATCGTGGAGGTTTCAGTCCATAATCAGCTGGCTCCAAGGCAAGGTGGCATGGCACAGGGACAGCAGTGCAAGGCAGCAGAAGACAGCAAAAGCAACAAGAGCTAAAAAGGGAAGAGCAGGCGACCTTTCTTCCCTGCATACAAGCGGGCTACTTGCCCTAGGGCAGGTGTAGCACTTGCACCACCTCCTACCCTCCTGCACAGGATGAAGTTGTTACAAAGTCAGGTCGCCCTGGCCCCCTGCTGAGTTAAACTTCTAAGCTGACACAGTGTATCAGCCATTATAAAATGTAATGATTTCTTCCCGTGAAACTGGTCCCCCATGCCACATGGTTTAGGTACTGCTAGGCTAGGGGCCGCCTACATCCTCCCCTTGAGGACCAGATGCCCCATCTTCCAAGAGTGCCGTTTGCTGATGGTCTCACCTGAGCCCCTCCCCCGGGGGAGACCTTGCCCAGGACTCTGCCTCCTCTATGGCATAAAAATGATCCTCTGTGAAAGAAGAGGGAGCAGCCCCCTTGCCTCCACTCAGGAGGACTGCAAGGCACACCATTCCAAGCTCCCCGAGGAATCTGGAGGTGTCTGCTGCAGCTGCACCCCACTCAGTTTTTCCCTCTGCTCCATCCCAGCTACTGTTCCCAACAACTTCCCCTCCAACACTTGCTAGCTCACTCCCAGACATCTGCATACCTAAGAAAGCCACCAGGGGAGGGCCTGCCACCTCCAGGAAGATGCATGTGAGACCAGAAGGGTGGCAGGAACCTGGAGGTCTGCAGCCCTGCTTAGTACAGGACTCGGTGCAGAAGTGAAGCTTGGTCTCCCTGGGTGCGAAGGTCCGAGTTAGCCTCGGAGTTGCTTGCAGGCCTGAGCTGCTGCCAGAGCTGTACAGAGCCATCTATGTGGTCAGGGGAGTCCCAGATGTGACACTGGCGACAGTGGGCCTGAAGAGTCCTCGGGGTTGGGTGAAGGGCCTGTGGTCATGACCTTCATGGCCTACAACTAGAGACAGATGGGAACACAAGTCCCACCACTAAGGATGGTGACTCTGAGCACCATCTCCCAGCACCTTCCCTCTGAAGGCTTGATCCTGGGAGCCCACTAAATTGCCTCAAGCAAAGGAAATCCAAGTAGAAATGGGCAGAAATCCTGGGAAAGCTCTGAGCCTGATCACATAAACTAGAAATCATGTTTGTTAAATGTTCACATGATCCACACCACAATAACCAGAACAATAACAACAACAACAACAACAACAAAATCAGTTGGTTAAAACATACAGCAAACATGAAATAAAATTTACTTTTTTTTTTTTTTTTTTTTTTTTTTTTTTTGCATTTCTAGGGACCCCCTTTCCAGTACTAGGGATCATACTCAGGATCTCCAAAGCTTTCAAGACTCACCTATGTTATAGCATGTATCAGTATTTAATTTCTTTGTAT